CCGTTTTTCAACTTTTGATCGATGAAGTAAGAGCCATGCTTTTGATTACGTATCGTCAAGTCCAGAGTCTCACAAAACAAGGCGTTTCACCCGTTCTACATGTTCCAAATTGCGAGTCTTGTCCTATGGTCGCTGGATGAATACTATTACTATGCCGTTTGCATTTTCCTCATTTCGGTATTCAGTATCTGCGCAACCATTCTTGAAACACAAACGGTATGTGGTGGCCGTCATTTGACTTCGGATACCCTAATAGCTGAGCTTAATGCAGACGATGAAAAGGTTGAGGGAAATCTCGCTCTTTGAGTGCGATACCCGCGTGCTTAGGAATGGCTTCTGTAAGTATTAATCCTTCTGCATCAAGGGCTGGAACGCAAAGTTAATTTTTGGACTGCCAGGGAGGACTGTCCCTTCTCCAGAATTGGTCCCCGGTGATGTCTTTGAATTCTCGGATCCGTCTTTGAATCAAGTTCCCTGCGACTGCATCTTGTTATCTGGAGATTGTATCGTGAACGAGAGTATGCTGACAGGTCTGTGAAACAAATACCTCCATAATTCTGTTGTGTGATTGGAGACTGACTTTAGATAAGGAGAGTCTGTTCCCGTATCAAAAATCCCGTTGACAGACGACGCGTTGAAGTACCTTAACCTTAGTACTCCATCTGTCCACCCGAATGTTGCCAAGCACTTCCTTTTTAGTGGAACAAAGGTCATTCGTGCACGGCGGCCACATAGCGTCGATGACGGTGAAGCCATTGCCTTAGCAGTGGTTGTGAGAACTGGTTTTTCGACAACCAAAGGTGCCTTAGTCCGTTCAATGCTTTTTCCCAAACCCTCAGGATTCAAGTTCTACAAAGATTCATTTCGTTACATCACAGTAATGGGTGTAATTGCTGCTTTTGGTTTTATAGCATCATTTGTCAATTTTGTCCGCTTAGGTGTAAGTCTGGCACAAGAAATGATACAAGAGTTAAGCTTACATTGCGCAGCTTTCCTGGCATTTAATCATTGTTAGGGCACTTGATCTAATCACGATCGTTGTGCCACCAGCATTACCAGCTACTCTGACAATCGGCACCAATCTAGCTCTTTCACGACTCAAGGGTCACAAGATATTTTGTATCAGCCCGCAAAGGTTTGAAACTGTTCTCTATCCGCTGTGATATTTATTCACTAAGAAACCTGCAGGGTCAACGTTGCAGGCAAGCTTGATATAGTCTGTTTCGATAAGACTGGAACTCTCACAGAGGACGGTCTGGATGTGCTCGGTGTGCGAATTGTGACTCAGGACTTGAGGTCTGCACCACTTGATATATCTTATAGATGTCTGCTCACTAGGACAATACAGATTCACTGATCTAAAACCTGATTTGGCTTCTCTGGCCTCCACATCTTCATCTTGGGTCGGAGCTTCTGTCGGTTCTCAGCAACACAAAAATATCGTCCACGCTATGGCAACATGCCACTCTCTCAGAGTAGTGGATGGCGAGCTAATGGGAGATCCTCTCGATGTGAAGATGTTCCAATTCACTGGCTGGTCTTATCAGGAGAACGGAAGCGAATCTATAGAACCCCATGGTCCTAAGTATGAAACAATCATGCCACCCATTGCGAGGCCGCCTAATCAGATAACCGATTTGAGTGGTCAAATAGGGGCCAGTCGACCTGTAAGCGTGCTTCCTCTATGGGAAAATCCTGTTAGGACGCGCAGCACATCACTGATTCAAACAACGACACGCTTTTTTAGGTACCAATAGAACTCGGAGTTCTCAGGAATTTTGAGTTTGTCTCTGAACTGCGCCGTGCGAGTGTCGTCGTAAGACAGTTTGGAGATGGCGGAGCAAGCTATTTCGTCAAAGGCGCACCAGAAAGTCTGAAGACTATTTGTCTCCCTGACAGTTGTGAGTCAACCACCATAACCACCATATTGAGTGTTTATATCGAGCCCAATGAACTGACAACGTTGGACAGTGCCGCACGATTTCGATGAATTGTTGAGCTACTACACACACAAGGGTTACCGTGTCATTGCGTGCGCTGCGAGATACGAACCAAAACTCAGCTGGATGAGAGCCCAGAAGTTGACTCGAGAACTCGTTGAACGCGACCTCGAATTCATCGGATTCATTATATTTGAAAATAAATTAAAACCCAGCACTACTGGGACAATAGCAGAGCTCAGTAATGCAGGCATACGAAATGTCATGTGCACGGGCGATAATATACTTACGGCAGTCAGCGTGGCCCGAGAGTGTGGCATGATTCGAGCGGATGAACAGTGTTTCATACCAAGATTTGCGGAAGGTGAGTCTACCGCGGTCACTTTGTAGCAATCGTTGACCAGAGTAGGTCATCACCACGATATTGGAGCATCTCTGGTCTGGGAATGTGTTGATGATCCGGCGCTGAAGCTTGACTCGAGCACTCTATTGGTATTGACTTGCCTACCTTTGAATTGATCTTACGGCTGATGGAAATTAGCCGTCGTTGACTCCGACAAATGTGGATCTTTCCGTGCCAGCAATCGCGTGCAACATTAATAAGTATACACTTGCAATCAGTGGAGATGTCTTCAGATGGGTTGTGGATTTTGGCAGCGATGTTGTTTTGAAAAGGGTGAGCATTCGAGCGATTCGCAGTCTTCTCTGGTTCACTTTTTCCCTTTTCCCTCTAACACTGCCGCAGATGCTTGTTCGAGGAAACGTATTCGCCAGAATGTCGCCTGATGAGAAGCATGAACTTGTCGAAAGACTCCAGTCCTTGGATTATTGTTGTGGATTCTGCGGGGACGGAGCTAATGATTGTGGTGCATTGAAAGCCGCAGATGTCGGTATATCCCTCTCTGATGCCGAAGCATCCGTTGCGGCGCCTTTTACCAGTCGTCAATTTGATATATCCTGCGTTCCACAACTGATCAAGTCAGTGCCTACCCATTTCTCATTTGAGGTAGATCTTTTGCTAAGCCAGCAACAGGGAAGGCCGCGCTGCTTTGGTTACCAGCTTCTGTTGCTTCAAGTACATGAGTTTGTACTCCGCAATTCAATTCTCGAGTGTCAGCTTTCTATATACGTCAGCATCGAACCTTGGCGACTTTCAGGTGAGTATAGTAAACTCTTCTCAGGGTAGTCTCTCTAACAATTCCAGTTTCTGTTCATTGACCTGGCGCTCATTTTGCCGATTGCAATATTTAGTAAGCATTCTAAACCATCTTCAATACTATGTTGATTCCAAAGCTAACGGTTTGAAGTGGGCTGGACTGGCCCATATCCTGTGCTTTCCCGCAAGCGACCAACTGCAAATCTTGTGTCTCGGAAAGTGTTAACTCCCCTGCTTGGTCAGATATCCATATGCATCCTTACTCAATTCGTGGCGTTCAAGGCTGTCCAATCGCAACCCTGGTATGTTAGCATGCATATGACTCTCCACCGGAAGCCTGATTTTAACCATTCACAGGTTTCAGCCTCCAAGAATAGACTTGGACAATAGCAATATAGAGAACTCCGAAAATACGGCTCTATTTCTGATCTCAATTTTCCAATATATATTTACGAGCATAGTTCTGAGCGTGGGACCACCATTTCGGATGCCAATGAGGGCGAACAGTGAGTGTTACATCCTTAGTGGCCGGATTAAAACTGACTAAATCGATAGAACCCCTGATCGTCACAATTGTCGTTGACACAATCGTGTCAAGCTACATGCTCTTCGATCCACCGGAGTGGATTATCGAAACTATGCAGCTGACATTTGTATCCAGGGGTTTCGCGTTTTGGCTTTTTGCACTCGCTATCGGCACATTTCTACTTTCGTTGGTCGCCGAACGCAAGTTCTTCCCCATACTCTCCCGGGCAATTGGTCATTTGAAAACACGGCTACGTCCGGGAAACCGTAAGCAGCGCCGTCAATATAAAGTGCTGCTTGATGAAATGCAAACATGAGCCTTGATTGTGGATACATACATAGCATTGGATATCAACGGTAATGCTATGGAGCGATTTGACCGCACTGTGTGTGAAGATTTTCAACCTCGCCGCTCGTTCCGCTCGACAAAAGGTAACCTTGAAAAATTGGGCTGTACATGGCGAACTGAGACGGACATAATGTTAATTCTCATATGTAACGGTCATCAATGGTCCCAAGGATGCTTCCAACCCAACAAAGCGGGGCCATCCTTCTTCGCACGATACATGAGCTGAGGGGTGGTGAAACCATTAAATCAGCATGCTCCTTAATATGGAAATAGAAGTGGGAAAGCTCGTACAAAGAACCACATGCTGGCACCTAAGGCAGTTGCTGTGAAGCGATAAAGCGGCCGTGCCGGATGAATATGGATAGGATGGTTCGCAGCCATCTTGGTGCTAGCAAGCTCAATTAGAATATTTATGAAAAGCTCTAGGCCCGAGAATATACTTGCTCAAACAGACACGTCTAACAGCTTCTTTCAAGACTGTGAAGGCAATATAAGTGCTAAGACATGAGAACTGTTTCAGAGATGGTCGCCAAAGGCAAGTCCAAGTCAAGGGTCACGGGAGGTCCACGTGACTTCAACCACTATTTTAAGCAAAGGCGCAAAACACTCTACTTACCATGTGCTTGTGACTTACGGAGTATATAGCATTGGTTTCCTAAGCGATAGTATGCATATTACCGTGTGGGGCTAAATGTAATTCTTTATATTTGAAGTTCCGAAAGATTTATTAATATGCATCAAAACATTAAAATCATTAAAGAGACTGTCTTGAGTTGATACGGACCTTAACTTTCACAGCTGCAACCCCCTTATCTTTTCAATCAGTCGAACTATAGTATGATACTTCCCTACATCATATGACTGGCTCTTCAGTCCCTAGGTTCCCGAGGTACTCTTCTCATTCCCTCCAAACAATATCCCGATGGCTCACAGTGTTAGTGGGTCATAATTTTCAGCACGGACGCTCGGCCTTGTGTAATTTCTATCGCCCAGGTTATTCTTCACTTGAAGAGCCAGATTCTTAATGAAAATGGCTATCGCATCTCTGGAAAGGGATGACCATGGCAATCCGAGATTCCGGGGTTGTACCAGCATCCGCGATTTTGAGTTCTTGGGCAAGCTGGGAGAAGGTACCTTTGGGTCAGTATCGTAATGCATGATTTCCAATACTCTTGTCAAAATACTGATTGCTAAAAGGGAGGTTTACAAGGCGCGTTCGAAGAAAGATGGATCTATAGTTGCACTAAAGAAGATTCTCATGCACAATGAGAAGGATGGTGTCAGGTCATTCGATCATGGACAACATTACCAAAGGCTGATAGAATCTATACCAGTTTCCTATCACGGCCCTTCGTGAAATTAAACTGCTGAAGATGCTATCGCACCGCAACATCCTACAGTTAAAGGAGATGGCTGTGGAACGAGGCAAAGGTTTGCCGTTGATTTCCCCAAGAAAGGGAGAGAAAACTAACTTAGTACAGGGGATGGACGCAAAAAACCAAGCATGTACATGGTGACTCCTTATATGGAGCATGATCTTTCGGGGCTGTTGGAGAACCCGGCAGTGAATTTCACTGAACCTCAAATAAAATGCTATATGCTTCAGCTTCTTGAAGGACTTAAATATCTACACGGTGTATTCCTTCCCCTTTACCATATGACCGGAGACCGTTCTAATTTATGAGTTACAGAACCGCATCCTACATCGCGACATGAAAGGTCAGTCAAAATGCATTCAAGACGCAGAGAAAGGCAATTCTTGTGCTGACCCGTTATAGCTGCCAACTTGTTGATAAGCAACAACGGCGTACTTCAGATTGCGGATTTCGGCTTAGCTCGGCCATATGATGAGCCTCCGCCTCAGCCCGGAAAGGGTGGAGGGGAAGCTAAAAGAGACTATACCACGTTAGTTGTTACACGGTGGTACCGCCCCCCGGAACTTCTCTTTCAACTTCGACGTTATACAACAGCTATTGATATGTGGGGTGTTGGGTAAATCTTCTGTTCTCTTGCTCCCGCCTTTTGTTGTTACTAACCATTGTAGGTGCGTTTTCGGCGAAATGTTCAAGGGGAAACCGATTCTTGCTGGAAGCAGCGATCTCAACCAAGCCCAGCTGATATTCAATCTTGTTGGAACACCAACTGAAGAAAACATGCCCGGTTGGAGTTCTCTACCTGGCTGCGAGGGCGTGAAAAGCTTTGGGTATAAACCAGGCAGTCTACGTGAGGTATTCAAAGAGTAAGGCCATGTCTTTCTATTGACTCATAATCCAACAGGACCTGTCCTGAATGTTAAATGAAAAGCCATCTGATTCAGGTCACAGTCAAAGTCCAATGGCCATATCCCTGCTTGAGGAGCTTCTCAAGCTTGACTGGCGGAAAAGAATCAATGCTATTGATGCAATAAAACATCCCTATTTTTCCAGCCCGCCATTCCCTGCCCGACCTGGGGAGCTCCCTAGTTTTGAGGACTCACATGAATTTGATAGGAGACGTTTCCGTGGGCAACGAGGCGCCATTCCCCCGGCACCTGCAGGGGGCTCTGTGGGAATGGGTCCAAACAGTGGCTGGGCAACTAATTCCGGCCCCAGACCAACAACAGACAACAGAAATAGCCGTATTCCCGGTGCTGCACGCGTTGGCCGGCTCCCTGCACACGGGGTTCAAAACCATCCTACAAAGCGCCCTTTTGAAAGCCGGAATGCTGTATCGCATGGGTCTTTAAACGCGGGGGAGTCGTTTCCAGGCTTCTGGGGTTCAAAAGATGGCGGCTTGCCTCCTAAACCCCCTGCGTCTGCTCGTCAATCATGGACCATGGGTCATTCAAATAGGGCGACACGTGAGAGAGGTCAACGCAATCATTTTGGAGGATGGCCTGATGGGAAACTGGATTCGTACATCCCGACTTACAGTGACGCTAGTGAACATTCTCGAGAAAGGAAAGGCAATAGCCCGAGTTCCATTGTTGATCGGCGTGATCTGGAACTCGAACAATCTAATGAGGGGCATAAACAGGGTCATACTTGGGACCGTTATGCTTCAAGAAGACGAAGCCGGAGTCCTGACTTTCGAGCGGCTCGAACAGAGGATCGAGCATTATATCGACGGTGATAAGCTCGTCCTTGTGAGAAACTGATGCAGAAAGGCTTTGCCAATTGTACCCTATGACGCTCTTGGTACCGAATGATTCAATGTTTATTATACGTCTCCTGCTGTCTATGACTTACTAAAACCCAGGCAGCTGCGGTTCGAAGTGGTGGGTCTCAGTTCCATGTTTTGTGCCTTACCAGTACCGGTAAGGAGTGCATTTGTCGCCTCATGGAAGCTATTGTATGTGCCTTCTTCGAATGATATCTGAGGAGGGCCAGAACGTACAAATACACCTGCAGAAGGTGAGTAATGCATTGAGTTTGTATTGATGAATACTGACGAAGTTTAAAGTGTTCAAATTCGGAACAAGATTTGACTTGTTCGCGCTAGCATACGTGGGAACTTGGGATGGAATCCGTGATCACGTTTAGCAGGTCGACTGTATACGAGATGCCAACCAAAAAATTCAAAATAGACTATGTTCGTTGATTCCAGTGATGTTCAAGATTTCCCTTTTTTGCCCTCTCTATATCCTTCTATTTACTGTTTTGTCTTCTTGAGCACACAAGACTGGACTGTTCAACCATGAAATGAACCCTCCTCAATACGCATGGTCCGGACTCGGAGTCCTGCAGGATTCCCGAAGTTGGGTGAATATTTTCTGAGCTGTGCAAGAGCCTAGTACAATATTCTGGTCATGATTCGGGCTAGATTAAACAGAGATGTCAGCCACGTATCCCTTAGATTCTCAAACGGTCACACATACAGGACAAGCTTTCTAGTCTCTCATACAATTCCTTGATGGTGGCATTGTCGACGTTACTGATATCAGCCATAAGATAGGCCACCTGCACAATTTTAGCTTTGCAATATTTGAACTGCCGATTGAGGTATCATGACGTACATCGCCTCTACTATCAGTCATCTGTTTATCAACATTATGGTCCCCGAGAATCTCGTTCACTATATCAAACATTAGAACGTCAAATATCTCAGAAAACAGTTGATCGAGCCAAACCTTTGCGCAGAACTCCAGGGACGTTGTGATGAATGTAGATGACCTAAACAAGAATTCAGCGGCTGCGAACCATGTTGTGACTGAGATTTCATTTCAACCTACCCGGGCATGGTTGGGTTCCTCCATTGTAAGTGAACGAAGGGTGACTTCAGGGAGGTTGACGGCACCAAGAGTTGTTCCTTCATTGACGTATCGTACTAAAGCTTGTCCTACCTCGACGCCTATGGCACTCTGCGCTTCTTCGGTGCTACCTCCAATGTGTGGGGTCAATATCACGTTCTTTAGACCACGGAGATCCGAGGCCCAAGTGTTAAGATCATCATTGAAATAGTCACCATTGCCGGCAGGTTCATTCGGGTAGACATCGAGGGCAGCTCCCGCAATCTTACCAGAACGCATTGCGTGAATGAGGGCGGGAATATCCACAACACTTCCTCGGGAAGCATTGATCAAATAAGCTCCAGGCTTCATTTGCTCGAATTGCTGTGAGCTTATCATGTCCTTCGTTTCTGGTAGTTCAGGGACATGGCACGTAACAAAGTCAGATTTGGACAAAAGGGCTTCCAGCGTCGGCACTTGCTGCGCAGTACCCAATGCCATCAAATTCAAGACGTCGTAGAAGATGACCGACAAGCCCATTGCCTCGGCCAAAACAGACAATTGCGCGCCGATATGACCGTAGCCGATGATTCCTGCCAAGAGAATAAGTCTCGATTCCACATTTCAAACAGGACAGGCGTACCCAAAGTCTTCCCACGGATTTCCCAGCATTTAGCGCTTACTTTATTCCAAGTACCGCCATGCATCTCCATGGAGCGGTCACCTAGCTGACGGGCAAGCGCAATAATCTCAGCTATGACCAATTCGGCCACACTTCGAGAATTGCTGAAGGGAGAATTGAACACAGCAATGCCATGCTCGGCCGCGTATTGGAGGTCGACCTGGTTAGTCCCAATACAGAAACACCCAATAACAATTAGATTGCGAGCTTCCTTGAGGACGCGGGATGTGAGCTTTGTCTTCGAGCGGATACCAATCACATGCACATCACTGATTCAAAGAGGTAGACAGTCAGCTCAGAGAAAGTCACAAAAGGTTCGGCCAAACGAACCGTATCTTCTCTATTAATTGATCCTCCGGGAGAGAGGATTTGAGGAATTCGACTTGATAGCCTTGTCCCGTGAGAATATCGCGGCCAGTTTGATTTACGTTCTCCAAGAGCAAAACCTTGATGTCCTCTGTAGCGAAAGGTTTTAAATGCTTTGCATTGGGTAAAGGAATCGTGCGGCCTGCAAATGCAGACCCTCCATGACTCGAGGGTGCAGACTGAAAGGATGCCGTTGGGGATGTGGAAAGGTTCGCATTCTGAGAGACGTTGAGGTCTCGGCGTATATTTATGTCTCGAGCAGATGTCGCCATTTTGACAATAACCGAGCGAAAGCAATGAAAAAGCAAGCAATATAGTGAAGGTAGAGAGAGGTATGGAGCAATTGAAGCTAGAGAGGGAAGATTTCACAGTGAATTCAATGCTTGAAAATATCAGGACCGATATAATAACAGGCTCGCCGGAATCGGACACCGATTGTAAATCACGACATCTCACTGATCTGAGTCATTGAGCTCGGCGGGGCTCTCGTTCTTACCCCTCCTATCGGAGACTTGTGGGAGGCTCTGGAAGCTCCACTTCGGCTTGCCTAAGATAACAGGAACACCACTTCTCGGTGATAACTGATAACAAGGGATGCAGCTCAGCGGGGGTTGAAAAATTGAAAAGAGCTCAGTGGGTGCTGAGAACCATGATGCAGAGATGTAGGAAGCCTTCTTTATCGTTATACTTAAGTTTAATAGTCGACAGCATCCATTTTCGATAGCGCTGAGCTGCAAGCCCCAACTAAAATGCAACCTAAATATGCAGGATACTCCATGGCACCGCCAAGTCATTTCATCGTCCATATATTGCATATATTGAATAGCAATGTATTTAAGATAAGTACCAGATGACACTGTAATTATTGGGTTACAAGGGTGACTATTCTTTTCATTTCCCGATGAATGACTGTCTGATCTTAAGGAGTAATCACACATCAGCAGAGTCGGATTCCACGGGAAGAAAGGACCAGTAAATCACACCCACTCAGACCCGAAGGTCCTGTAGCTTTTTGGTAGCTTCCCCGGTGCCAGCTGCAGTTTTTATGTCTTGTCTGCTTTTGGATTTATGGGATGTCGTGTCTTTAGGAAGATCCTTGGTATACGGTAAGAATTCGGGAGCGCCGGGGATATATTTTCTTAGAGGCTCGGGCACATTGAATCCCTATGCTTCATTAGCGAATCAATGCCATTTGAGATAGCTCGTTTTTCAACACATACATCATCGGTTTGATAGTTCTCAAGGATGCAACAAAGCGTACGCTCTGTAGCACATAGCGTAGCATTGAGCGCGTGGACATAGGATTTCTTGACATCAGTGGCTTTCTTTGTGCCATAGCGTATTTCCAGAGCTCGTGCCTGGTAGTCGGTGCAGTTGGAACAAGAAACTAATTCCTTGTATTCACCCTGGAACGGGAACCAAGCCTCGAGGTCGTATTTCTTCGACGCGGCATTGTTCAAGGCGCCTGAAACGATAGCGACGACCTGATAAGGAAGACCAAGCGACTGATAAAACTCTTCTGACGTGGCCATCATCTCTTCAAAAACTTGCCATGAGTTTTCAGGCTTGGTAAGAACGAATTGTTCAACCTATGATGCATGAGCAAGCAAGCAGACGAACGATGACAGGGTTATCAGAAGTTACCTTCTCAAATTGATGGACGCGGAAGATACCCCAGGCATCTTTTCCATGAGCACCGGCCTCCTTTCGGTAGCATGTACTGTACCCGGCATATCTTTATCATACTTAGCAATGAACACAGTGTCAAACGTTGAGTTGCTCACTTGATTGGAAGATCTTTGTCCTGGATCCATTCTCCGTCGTGCAGGGCAGACAGCGGTTGTTCAGAGGTGGCTATGAGATACTTGTCGGTAGACTTGTCATCGCTCTCAGTCACCTTGTACAGCTCTTCATCAAACTGCTCGAGTTGCGCGGTCTTCGCCATCAACTCTTTGAGCATGAATTGAGGCGGCTGGTTCGGTTTGTACCCTTTCCGCCAAAGGAATTCAAGACCATAGTTGATAAGAGCTAGGTTTAGGAACAGACCGTAGCCTGTCAAACAATATCCACGGTGGCCAACGATTTTCACACCCCGCTCCGAATCGTACCCATCAAGGCGGGTGAGGACTTCGTGATGAGAAAGACAATTGCGCTTCTCTACCACCACGTTTTCCGGGGCCCACGTTCTGACCACCACATTGTCATCCTTTAAGTATATGAGTTTCCGATACTAAGATCTGGAAAGAGTAACCCACCTCATTATTGCTCACAGGCACTGACTCATGAACATAGTTCCCAATTGTCCGAATCTTACGATCTCTCATGCTTTCCAGTTCAGAGGCATGCTCGTCAGCCTCCTTTTTCCGTTTTTCCAGAGCGGCCTTCTGTTCCATCAAGTCACCCGCATCCTCTTTATTCTACCCCGCTCTAAGCGTTAGAAACGAATAATTGACAGAAGAGAATTGGGCAAAAGTATGGAGTAGGTTTGAGGGGCAATATAGACAGTAAGTTTGCCTCAAACCACTTAGCAACAGACCTTCTTTCGCTTTCCGATTTCTTTTTGGAGCGCATTGAGCTCTGATCCTATTTGCATGACTTCGTAACGCGCTGCTATGCGTCAGAACAAATTCGTTCTACCATTGGGCAGCGCTCTCTGGGGAAATATGTATACCTCGACGAGCCTCCTCATAGAGAGTAATCACTTCATCGACCACATTTTCTGGTGCAAATCGCTTCCGCTGGCTCTCCTTGATCTTATTCGGATTCCCACCGCGATCGGAGACAAAATCGGCAAGATCAAGCATCTTAAGTCTATAATAGGAGGGATAACAAGGAGGAATCAACCAGAAGAACTTAATGAATGAAGATATTCAAGAGACAGATGGAGGACAAATGTGGGAAGGCTTTGACACAGTCGAACCCGGTGTCATCTAATTAGGTTTGGAGGGGTTGAGAATAATTGAGGGGATCGTTTCGCTTGGGGGCATTGAGTAGTCATCCGTGCATAAGAAGGAGAAGTCAATACTAAATAAGGTAAGGTACTAGGGTATTATGTAATTGGAAACTTGAGTACATATTGTGTACTGTATTTACCTAATTTATCAGGCTGCTACTTAGGTAAGTTCAGGTGCTCTAAAGTTGATTACTACGTACTTCTGGATACCCTCTAGGTAGTTAACTTTCTAAGTCAGGTTCCTATGGGCCGGAAGGCATAAGCCAGGAGCGGTCGTCTGTGGTAATTATTGAAACTCGGTGGCTGCCACCAGCTGTTCCCCCAGCTTGGAATCTGGGTGTCTGCAAAACCCTAGGTGTCTATCTGAGAGCTCAAGCTGTATGTTACGTTCGCTGGTGGCATGAACCGCTCGTTGGTTACAACCCGTATACTGTAGAAAGAAAGGGCCACTGTATCTCCTAGACCAGAATGCACTTCCTGCATGAGCTCATTCTGGAAACGCTTCACTGTCCAACTCATTCAGCCATGGATCGCTCCCTCGAATGTCATCATACTTCTCTCTCTCCAGCAGTGTCCGACCCTCAGTCTTCCCAACCCCCTTGTACAACAGTGAGATTATATAACAGATAGGCCATAAAACGGGCAGGAAATCAGGACCGGGGATGATTCACAACCTCAATATTCATTACATTTCCACTCATTGAGGCGCAGGCCCGTAGAAGATTGGACTGGAATGCAGGAACCTCAAGTAGCGCTACATTAGTATGCACTTGCTGCCGCCTGCTGGTTGGGACGGGTTTTGGGACTTCTCAATCTCGCCAATCATCAAATCAAACGCTTTTGTGACGTTGTAGTCGAGACGAGCACTAGCCTCAGTGAAGGCGCAATGAAACTCTTCGCCCAATTGCCTACCCTCGTCCAGCGAAACTTGACGCTGTTCCGATTTGAGATCGCTCTTGTTTCCAACAACCACGAGAGGAACGTGATCCGCTCCCTGCTCTTCGATTAGCGCAGGAAAATAAAGCCATGCTAGCAACCTGCCGAATGCTTACAAGATGATTCAGAATTTTGTCGCGTATAACCCTCACCATGTCAAATGACTGGCGGGACGCTACAGAATAGACAATGATATACCCGTGTATTCCGATAAAGTGCTTAGAATTAAGTATGCTGTATTCATCCTGGGATGGAGTTTGTTAGCCTAATTGAAGTCGCTCATGCCTGTATGCTCACTTGACCAGCTGTATCAACGATCTCTGTGGCAAAATCCTGACCGTTGTACTTGATGATGCGACTGAACGTATTCTCAATGGTAGGATAATAGCTCTCGACAAAATGATGTTCAACAAATCGGACCGTAAGAGACGATTTGCCTGCGGGATCAATTAGTTCGGGAAACACAATCAAAATGAAAGATCTCTGAGCAGGGCGACAGGCAAGTAGGTGGCATGCCCGTATACGGAATCGTACCCACGGACCGACTACCAACAATGGCAATCTTCCTCTGTTTCGGCGCAGCAGGCATATTTCCCTGCGTTTCGTGGTTTTCTTGACCTCCCCTCCGTCGCTTTGATTGGGATCACCTGGAAGTAAGAGCAAGGGAAAATGCCCCAACCTTTGCGAAGTTGGTTCTAATGATCACGCCGACTAGCCAGACTGGGGCAAATAAGCACTGTGCCCCAATGAGATAAACTGCCTGAGAGAAAGTGTAGTGATTAAATTACAATAATCGAAATACCGATTAGTTTGCTGTTTTCTCGGGGTCTACCTAGTTATATAAGGTGCATGTTCCCAAGTGGCAAATCACCAAAGCATCAAACTACGTAGATGCATACCAAGGTCGCTCAGAAACCGCGGAACATACAAACATATCAAACGACATCCGATCACCGATCACCGACCAAACCTACATCATCTTGAAGCCCCGTTTGCGGCGTCCTTTGCCCTCCATCATTACATGATCATCTGTGCTGGCAGGGAAATGATGTTTACATTCAGCATAATATCCGCGCCCTAATGGGTGACATACAGATGGGAATCCAAAAAAGGTCTGGCTATTTCCACGCCATTGTGCCTATCCACAATTTACAAGAGCGTGTTTTCACGCAGCTGAATCTGCTGTATGATATGTTCTAATCTCGCCACAAGTCCGGAGTTTTGGCCTTTTCGTGACTCGGATGGATCCAAGTCTGAATCAATTTTCCGATAGTATTTCAGAAACTCACCTGCGGTTGATAAAACTACGGTAAGTCCCTTGTTGTCGAGTGACCTCCTCACCTGGGAGATTGCCTCGTCGCTGAAACAAAGCGTGAGCAGCAGGATAGATAGATATCCGACAGTAACGTTGCGATTGACTGTAGGAGTTGTATGTGCCTATGGACATTGTTATCCGAAGAACAGATTTGAAAGCGACATGCTGTTTGCTTCTTTTACCTACCTCACTGACCGAATTCACCCTTTCGTAAAATCGTTCCAAAAGCGATTGGATTAAAGATGTCGAATCGAGAGTCAGATGAAGGAAAAGACCCCTCGCTGACTCGCTTTTCTCTGTCATATTGATAAGGACACCCAAGACTAAGACTAACGTGTGCAAGGAGTTGTCCTCCCCTGTAGAACTATCGTCGGACGCGGCGCGAATCTCTGACGTGACGATGTTGACCAATCCCTTCACCAGCTCTGGTGTTGCATATTCGTTACAGAGATTCGGGTCGCTATTGGTGAGGTTCAATATTGCTCGAATATAGTACATGCGAAGTTGCCTACCCTGGTTGCACTGGCTCAGATTGAGAATTTCATGAAGCCGAGAAAGTGAACTCAGAGACGGGTAGTTTTGATCGTGGTCTGCTGCGCTGAATACGATCGCGTAAGACTCCAGTATCGAGAAAATCAAAACCAGTGTCCTGAACCTTTCCCGCGATACAGGAAATTTGATAGTCTTGCCTCTTTCTGGCAACAACAATTTGACAAGGTGGTCTGACAGAGTCGCCGGAATGGGTTCAATGCTGCCGCCCTTATTGTTCAAACTTACTAGGCAAGACTGGATGCTACTAAGAGCCACAAATTGAGGCGATATTTTGAAAGCCGGCTCGTCTCCGCTGATGGTTGAAGATAAACGAGGTAAAATGTGCTTGATGGACATTTGTACCGATCTTGATAACCCAGCAGTTGGTAGTTGCGATAGAGACAAAAGATCACGTTCCACGGGCAGTAGCACAGGAGATAGAACCATCACATCTGGCCAGTGGCTGATTAACGAGATGTGAGATACCTTGTCGCATGAATTGACCAATCTGCATGCGCAAAGGGCGAACGATGCAGATACCACATCAAGGCGACCATCTATGCATCCGACGAGTCGTTCGTGGAAGCCATGTTCGAGAAAGCGCCGGACAAACTGACGGTCCAGTAGCTTTTCACATAGCTGGACAAAACTACCGCATCTACCAGATGTGGTATTGTATGCATCCTCAATGTCTTCGAATATCAATTCAATCGCGCTTCGAAAGCGGGAGTTGTCTCCAGCTTGCCTAAGCTCGTGAATCCCACGAACAGGACCGCTATCGCTTGTTTCTCCGTCACCAAGATGCGACGAATGACTGGAGAGAATCTCGCGTCCGTATTTTCGGTGCCCTTGAACAAAGCTGCCCGCTGTTGAAGCCGGGATTTCGGAAGGACGACGACTGTCAACGATAGAGGTGTCATCCAAGAAAGACCGCTGTCGCGCGTAAGTGACCCTACAGCCTCCCACTCTGGATGAGACTGGACCAGATGTTTCAGCACTCCCCTTGTTCTCGCTTTCAGTCACCAGCTTAACAGGTCCAGAACTCGGTTTCGGCTGACAGTTTAATAAAGAGTCTCTACGAGGGCTGTGGCGGGGAAGCGGGTCGACTTCGGTGTCGTCGTTGGCTCTGGATGCTCGCAACGCATCTTCGACTGTCGGCTCCAGGGGACCAAGTGAATCCACTAATCGCTTTCGCGTAGTTATTTGTGTTCTGCTCTCTGCCTTCGAATTAGATTGAAATTGAGAGCTTGAAGTAGCAAACTCAGTGGCGATCGAGAGTGTTTTGTTCTTAGATATCGTCTGCTCCGTACGGTTTGACTGCAAACAAGGCACTGCGGTAGATACTTCGTTTCTCCCAGGACCACCGTAAGATGTCGCTTGCTGAAGATCCTGGCCAATTTGTAGCTTGAGTTCACTCTGATCGACAAAGCCTTTCCCGTCTGTGCAACTCATGTCTGCGACTCCACTCAAATCTCTCTTGTCTCTTGGCGCCATACGAGAAACAGAATTATGCAGTCGATGCGAGACGTCTTGGTCCCGACCTTGTTGTGTCTTCTGAGAGACGTCAAGCTTCCTGCGTTTGTTTTGAGCAGAACGGTGTTCTTTCCCACTCTGGCCTTGGAAGCGACACAGCATCTTATCAACCGGCTCAAGAACAAGAGGTTCATCCCTAGATGGGAAACGCCCGTGTGTTTTTCCTGGAGACTGCTCCTCTGATGCTTCAGTCGTTGGGTTTGAAGATTTTGGTGGTTCATTACTCTCAATTTGTACTTTCGGCGTCGCATGATTACCCTTTCTATGTCTGGCTGTGGCGGTTCTGACAAGGTCGGTACGCCGTTCAGTGTCTTCTTTCATGTTGAATGAGAGAAGCGCCCGGAGAGTATGCTGGAGAGGAAGGTGGGAAGGACAGGTATGCCATAAGGTGCCCGTCAAAGTGTAAGTATTCTATACTTACAGTTGAGTGATGATGGTGCAATAATCAGATAAGGTATCTTATCACAACCTACGGAAGGTTTGCTATCTAGTACGGTAAGGTAGCTTACCTTACAGTTACCTTACGGTAGGTATTAGATATTTGTCGGGTGGCAAGGTAAATTATTAAAGTAACACAGTAACATGAGGCCTTTTGTACAAGCTGACGGTATTAAATTATTTTATTACAATACTTGCGAGTCTATTGCCAGTGTCTTCTAAGTAGTAGGTATGAATAGAGGGAGATTCATGACTGAAATAGAAATACCAGAACTAGGGCAGATCTATCGACCCAAGACGAAGATAAGGTACCTGTAGACTGGAGTGTAACCTACCTTAGGGTATGTGTAAAGTACCTTGTAGTACTGGTATGTAAAGGTAGCACTAAGCTCTCACTTTCCCCATCTTTCTTAGTACCAATTTACCCAGTGCTCCGCCTTTGCTGCTTCAAAATACTATTAGTACCTCTCCAGAGAGGTACTCGTAAGACAATCTGTTTTGTACTTTATCATTATTCTATTTGACGAGTTGTCAAGTCACTCGAGTTCTCCCGTATTTGCCTGTACACTATCCAGCTGTCTAACTACCTCGAGGACAGAACCATGACAAGCATTGGAATGAATGCTGCGCCTTCACCTGCACAAGGTGTTGGCCCGATTTATAGGCCTGAAGGCGAGAAGCCTACAGCAACAGTGTCCAAAGACATATCTTATGAGAATGTCCATGTGCTGCCACAAACTCCGCAACTAATTGCGCTTCTGACGTAAGAGGGATACTTCAATACAGACGCTGTGCCCTAACTGATATTGATGAGCATTAAACTCAATCATATGGAGAATCGTATCTTCTGACCAATTGCAGTATGATTAGGGATAAAAATACAAGCCGTGCCGATTTTATCTTTTACTCCAACAGGATTATCCGACTCTTGGTGGAAGAGGGATTGAATCATCTACCAGTCGTCGAGCGATCCGTTACCACTCCTGTGGGCCGTGAATACCTCGGGGTCAGATTTGAAGGAAAGATATGCGGAGTCTCAATAATGAGGGCCGGAGAAGCAATGGAACAGGGTCTTAGGGACTGTTGTCGGTCGGTTCGAATTGGGAAAATTTTGATTCAGAGAGACGAAGAAACCTGCAAGCCGAAACTCTTCTACGAAAAGCTCCCCCTTGATATCGCCAACCGTTGGGTACTGCTCCTTGATCCGATGTTTGCAACTGGTGCGTCATGTCCTGGATTTCCGATAAGATTGAAAACTACCCATGCTGACGACTTGTAGGAGGCTCTGCAACGCTTGCTGTCGAAATCCTGAAGGCGAAGGGTGTGCCCGAAGATCGAATACTATTTCTCAACCTCATTGCAAGTCCCTCTGGAGTCGCGGATTTCGCAGAACGCTTTCCAAAACTTAGAGTAGTAACAGCGTTCATTGATCAAGGCTTGAACGAAAAGAAGTTGGTTGAATTCTCTCCCAATGGATAGAACACTAACTTATCGATCCGACAGGTATATCATCCCAGGTTTAGGTGATTTTGGTGATCGGTATTATACCATGTAGCCATGTGGCTTAGCCGGAGTCGGATGTCCCGGCATGTAGCGGCATAGCTCTTACATAGAGTTGCAGTTTGCAGATGTGCTTTGAAAATTCATAGTGGTCTCGACTGCTCGACTATTGTGGTCCTTGAATGTGGTCTCGTATAGCTGTTCCATAAACTTCGTAAGTTCTCTGGTGAACTATCGATCATGGGGGCGGATAAGTACCTATTCAGTCATTATATATCACTATTTCCGACATCACGGTTGGTAGTAGGGAATGAGTGCTCCCGAGGATGAACAGCAGGTATATCATCATCACCATCGAATTTACTAGCTGTATCCTTGGCAACTGCGTCACAAGCATCCACCCAGTCTGAATATACATCAACAGCAGCAGAAAGGTCTAGCAAGTAGAATAGTGAATAGAGAAATCTCAGGTGCATTAGGAGTGACTGCACTTACAGTTAATTCCTGTTTGGAACCTTTGTCCACACACTTTACAGGATAAATTTCCAAGCCCTAGCTTTTTGTCTAATTTGACAATGACGGAGTTTTCATGATTGCAGAACAAGCAGGCAAATGTAGTTGGCAGTGGTTCTTTCTATTCCAATATTAGTATCATTGCTCAAGGCCACGTCACAAGCAATCACCTTTTTTGGTTGCTGTGGCTGTCGGCTGGACTTCTTGCGTTTACCCTGTTGATTTCAGTCAATATCTCGTTGTAATAGCTCAAAATCTAAGCTTTTGGCACCGACCATGCTTTAATATCAAGTCCTATTCAGGTCGCGAATTGTTCTCATGTGGAAAATGGTGGTCAATCAGATGTAGCTACTGGAGGACTGTTGTAATATTTGGTCAGTCTAGCCAGCTTTTGGAATAATGTTATAAGCCTTCGGATATGGTGAAGTGTTGGAAACAAGATGTGCTCGAAATTACGTATGTAGAAGTGATTGACTTGCAGATAGCATAATTATACTTTCCATTCTCATAGTACTCAACAGAGCTTGTCATATGACCAGCCGCTCTGTGGTATGCCACTGGAGATCTGGAAACAAGTAGTGGGGCTACTCTTGTATAAGGCGCCATACTCTCTACCTAGTATGCTTAGATCTTGCAGACTATGGAATGTGAAATACCTTGGATATGTACCCAGGGGCCAGAGCATGTTGCACTCCGCACTGGGGCATGGAATCGATCTCCGGTGTACTTAGCTTTCACTAGGTACTATCTAAGGTAGGTGATATATTGCCTTTGCGCTCTCCCACTGACCTCATTACTACCTTTGGCTTATGATGGACTACATCTTCCGGAGGGCGAAGGGTAAAATTCCTGCAGATACTGTTGATAAACATTTCAAAATGTATTAGTTATGTGATTACTTATGTGTATCTTGTCGATAATACCTCTTGTCTTATTAGAGTTCAAAAGGCCAGTGTGTGCAAACTATGTGGTGCCCGTATAGAAGAACACTGGTTGGAAATAAGAAGGTTATTGGAGGAGCCCCCATGATACATAATCATTATGGCATATCCACATCTATGCCACTCCAAGATGATATTGAGGTAATGAAAGCAAATGTCACATGATGTTGTGGGCAGGTATATATTATGTAATCTGATCGATAGGGCCGACGTCTCGCTTAGCGGACTTTTCTGTGGGATTGCAATTTCAACTTGTTATTCCGCCGACCAGCAACAAAGCGGTTACTCGACTCGACTCCCTCCACCAGAGCCCGTGGTGTGATATACCTGTCTGTCTTTGATACTCGCAAGATAGACTTGAGTCGCAGTTATGGCGGTTGGAAAGTATGCCAATTCACTTTTACTATTGTTACGCACACTTTTTGCATGTGTCTGGATACGGTGGTTTACAGGTACTGATCTGGGCACAGGAACAAGCGCTTGTCGAAGGGCAAGAAGGGTGTGAAGAAGAGGACCGTTGATCCTTTCTCCAGGAAGGACGAATACTCTGTCAAGGTATGTCGACTTGGACAGGTTAATTCGGCCGCAGCTAATCTGTATTAGGCGCCTTCCACTTTCCAGATCAGAGAGTATGTTACGCGCATAGATGTCGAATCGCAGGATAAAGGCGATTTATAATGGTAGGGGGAACCGTGCTGACTGGGTTATAGTGTTGGAAAGACTCTGGTCAACCGCACCAGTGGTCTCAAAAACGCCAATGACTCCCTGAAGGGTCGAATTTTCGAGGTGTCGCTCGCTGACCTGCAGAACGATGAAGACCATGCTTTCCGCAAGGTTAAGCTTCGTGTGGACGAGGTTCAGGGCAAGAACTGTTTGACCAACTTCCACGGTCTCGATTTCACAACCGACAAACTGCGATCCCTCGTGCGCAAGTGGCAGTCGCTGATCGAAGCCAATGTCACCGTGAAGACGACCGATGATTATCTCCTTCGGCTTTTTGCTATCGCCTTCACCAAGAGACGCCCTAACCAGATCAAGAAGACCACATATGCTCGTTCTTCTCAGATTCGTGCCATTCGCAAGAAGATGATCGAAATCATGCAGAGGGAGGCAGCCAGCTGCTCTCTCGCTCAGCTCACTCACAAGCTCATTCCCGAGGTCATTGGTCGTGAGATTGAGAAGGCGACCCAGGGAATCTATCCTTTGCAGAATGTTCGTGGTCCTGTTATTCTTACTCGGGATGGAGACTAACTGCAATCTAGGTCCACATTCGCAAGGTCAAGCTTCTTAAGGCTCCCAAGTTCGATCTAGGTGCGCTGCTGAATCTGCACGGTGAATCGACGACCGACGACAAGGGCCACAAGGTCGAGAGAGAGTTCAAGGAGCAGGTCCTCGAAAGCGTTTAAGTGGTCTGAATCACCAGTATGCTGGTTATTGGGACATTGATTTGTACCTACCTGTATGCCTGGATTCTTTTTTTATGAGTTAGAATGGAAAAGAACTTTTGTCGCGACATCATGTCTTTATTGACTTGTGGTGTCGGTCAATTTCTATGTCCTTCCAATAATGGTGTTTGCAAAAAAAAAAAATTTATGCCATTATCCAAATATTCAATTGCCAATTATGATCAAGTTTAGCTGTAGAATATCTGCTATGCCAGCGATGTGCTGATGCAGGGGGGCAGGTCAGTCAGTGATGTAAAGGGCTCTGTTGCTATATGCTATATTGAATCAATTAAAAGTAAGCTATAGGTGGTATAACTATAGTGTCTCACCAGCTATGATAAGTAATTTTATAATTTATACTACCTATCACTTACCTATCTGTTAGGGGCTATCATAGACCACAGCTGCAGCACTACTATTTATAACCTATTATATGCTAACTAATTACATGGCATTACCTTTATTAATATTATAAGTAGTTAGT